TCCCTCGCCCCCTGATCGCCTCTTCAAGATTGTCCTGGTGGGGAACTCGAGTGTAGGAAAGACCTCCCTCCTTCGACGATTTTGTGACGACAGCTTCCACCCTGGCACTTCTGCCACTGTGGGTACGTACAAACTTGTCACTTCCTGTGAGAAAAAGCAACAACCCACCCAGCCTTGTGGTTGACCTCAGGCTCTGTAAGTGTTTGCTTACAAAGCACTCGAATGTAGCAGTTGGTTTTAACACTGGAGAAAAAAAATCTTTTTCAGTTACACTGAGTACAGCAGCGTCAGCAGTGAAAGGAGAGTCTATACACAGTATAAGACTGTGTATAGACTTTTGCTGTGACTTGTCACTGGTGAGCTTAATATCATCTGTGCCACCTTGCATGGCAGCCTCTCTGGTAAATGTGAAATAACGCTGTGAGTGGTCGGTAGACCAGAAAAGTGCTTTATAAATACCATTCACCATTTAGTACTAAACATTCTGATCAGCTTGTATATATTGTATGTTGTGGTCTCCTTACTGTACTGTACAATATGATTCACAATAATATATGCTATATAATCACTTAACAGCATAAGCATTAGCATAAAATTGTTTTAATAATAATAATAATTTCTGTGTATAGTATATGATATAATGTCCAATGCAGGGTCATGGGGACAGTAACCAGCTGACCTCAAATATATTGTCGCCTATCTAAAATCTAATAAAAGAGGCAAGACATTCTCTCAAGGCCGATGTGAAAAATTCATTGAAACACAAAAGCATCACAATTTGGTCCTGCAAACTTCATCATAGTAAAATATTTTGTTCAGAGCTTATACGATTCAGCTTGTGTATAATATAAATCTTCAAATGTAACTTTTTATGGCTCACAACTTTTGTAGGATCTCATTTTGCTGTGCAGCACAGTGATAAGAAAAGTTCTACAAGACTATTTTCAAGTTTGGAAGTAGCACAGTAGGTGTTGCATTTATCAATTAAAAGAAAGTAAAGGAAATCCCGTTTGTTTACCACATTATAATGTTTAAAATGTGTCACATTCACATGTATTTAGGTCATTATATAGATTTGCATATTGTATATTTGCATGTTTATACAGTAATGTGTTCTGTGGTGTTGTAACAGTACATTACACAGTAATAAAACGGAATACGCTGACATTTTCCTCTCTGTATGTGCAGGCATTGACTACAGTGTAAAGACAATAACTGTGGACAACAGCCAGGTGGCGCTGCAAATGTGGGATACAGCAGGACAAGAGAGGTGAGGCATCAATACATGAGGTGAAAGGAAAGAGATTATCACATTTGAACAGAGTCTGTAATCCACTGTAACACTACGATACTTCTGTCAGCTTATGCTATTTGACAATGACTGTGTGCCACTACTGTATTTCAAAAGAGTGTATTTGAATTCTTTAAGTTCCAAATAATTTCCTTGTTTCTTGTTAAAGTTGAAAAGCGTCCCATTTTCTTTCTTCCTCCTGACAGGTTTACAGTAAAATTAAGTGTTTTGAGCTTCATGCACTTCAACAAGTTCCCATATAACTAAAACATTATTCCTGTATTTTGTAGGTTGCACAAATGACAGTAAAGCCAAGGGGAAGGTTTCAGAGATTTTTTTGAAGTACCAGTAAAAACACAACTCTTCTTCTTTTTGTTTACTTCCTCCTCCTCCTCCTGTAGGTATCGAAGCATCACCAAACAGTTCTTTCGCAAGGCTGATGGTGTGGTTGTGATGTATGACATCACAGTCGAGCAGAGCTTTACAGCTGTCAGACAGTGGCTGACAAGTGTAAAGGTGAGACGGTTAAGTCACTCAGCCCTGCATACCTTACTCACAGAAATAATACACAAACAGTTTGTTTTACTTTATTTCCTAGAAAGCTGATTTTCAATATGCTGTAGGGAGTCAAAATAGAGCAACAGCTGCACAGAAACCCAGAGTTCACAGTATTGTAGTGTAAAAAATATGGGACAAATATAGGTCAGGTGCTCAATTAGTTTACAGCGATGCACCTATACATTACTGTCTGGTTTACAGCCACTAGCAACAGAGAAGCTAATGGCTAAATCCTTTAACTGCAAAGGACTTTTCTGAAGATCAGTTTCTCTGAGTCTGTATTCTTTGATTTTCTTTCTTTCACAGGAAAGTGCAGGCGAGGACATTACCATCATGCTCTTGGGAAACAAAACGGACAAGGAGATTGAGAGACAAGTTCAGAAAGAAGTGGGCGAAAGACTATCCAAGGTCTGTTCCATTTTGTCCACTGAGCTCAAGGTTCTTAGCTGACAAATCAGCGTCAGAGCACAGCAACAAAGTGGGGCTTTTTTGAGTAAATACATTAGGAACGCAGTTATAGAACAGAGAGAGTGTAATGTATGATTTGAGTTTGTTTTTTTTCTTTTTCTTTTTCTTTCCTTAGTGTGTTATTCCTCTAATTGTCTGGTGTGTACTGTAGTTTCTATGGTGACCATATGAGTGAATATTGGTAGATTAGATTTTTGTTTTATTTGTGCTTTTGCAACTATTAGTACAAAATGTACTTTCCTTGATAAGCCCACAATAATCAATGTGCAGAAAGTTGAAACATGTTCAGACACATCTTGTTACAATCAGCCATCATCATCATTATCATCATCATCATCATCATCATCATCATTTGCGTCTCTTTCAGGACTGCCAAATGACTTTTTATGAGTGCAGCGCATGCTCTGGACACAATGTGGTAGAGTCCATGGTTCATTTAGCCAGGTGAGCAAAATAATGGCCTTTGTGTTTGAGTTTATGCAACAGGAAAACAAAGAAACAATAATTGTGTTGTGACTAAATATGGAGCAATTGTCTGCTTGAACAGCTTTCAAAGTGGGATTATTTCTGTACTGAAACAAGGCACATCACCAGCCAAATGTTTCATTTGTTCTCTGTTGGAGGCACAAAGGACTAATCAGCTGGTTCCAGAGAACACGACAGCAAGCTTAAGTGAAAACAATGCACAGTGCATAATCAAACTGCAATGTCTTTGTGTAAACCATATTTTGTTTCCTCTGTGTGAGAATATGAATGAATTTTCTTCAATTCGAGGTGTACAGTTAGATGTGCAGCACTGTGCCTTATTTCATATATATTACTGCTGGAGCTGTCAGTAATCTACCATCACAGACATTTCTGCGTGGAATATTCGTAGGTTACTGTTGCAAATACAGATAGCATTGCAGTTTAACTCTACTCTTGGGGATGCTTCATGCTGTGACAATACAGCATTTAATGCACAGCAGCATGAAAAAACAAACAGCCAGTGTTACAACTAATCCCCCAGTGTGACATAGATACCCCAAAGGGTCCACACAGACCTGATACACACAGAGCACAACTGAAGCATGTGCAGATTGGATGCAGTAGCAGCAAAGCACATGTACGTTTTCAGAGTGAATTCAAGTTCAAAACTGCCACAACTCATTCATTTGTTGATGCCTCATTATGTCCCTCAGAATTCTGAAAGAGCAAGAGGACAGAGAGAAGGAGAAGACGGTCCAGCTGGTCAGCAGCCCCTCAGAAAAAAAGAGATCCTGCTGCTAACAGCTAAACAGTGAACACATACATAGTAGCACTACCCTTTACTAACAAACACAATGTGATAGTTTGACCACATGTGCCACAGAGGACACGTTATTCTCTCACACAGTCTTCCTTCCACTTTGTAGCACGTTGGGTAAAGCCACCACCAGAATGGAAAGGCCGTATATGTCAGGTGTCACGGATGTTATTGCACTATTATTAACAGTCTACCCTGTGTTTTAGCCAAGTTATTTGCAGTTTGAAAATGACCTCAAATTTTTATAAAAATGTAGTAACATAATTATAGCAATACAAAAAGTTTTATTTACATAGCTGTGTATATACAACTGAACAAATTTAAGTCAAAGTCCCTTTTGACATGTTTTAAATGTTGGATATTCCTCTAAAGTCGGACTGTAACGCAGATATTTATTAAGATTCCAAAGGCCATTTATCTGTCACATGTGGGCTTTTTGCTGTATGTGTTAATATATTAATTCAGTGTTGTGTGTGTGATTTTGTTTTTAGTTGTTCAACTTATGACATGGACAAATAACAACAATTGCTGTAAAATACATTATCAAACAGCCTTGCAGTAAATGCTACCTTAGTGACGCTTTTGGTGTTCAGTTTTTGTTGAGACTGTCAGGGGGTGTTTAACTATTATATGGGGAAGGCTTTGTTTGGTGTTATGTGGCAGTGCAGGATATTGCACGGTGTCTTGATTTTCTTTACCTGGTGGACAAAGTAAAAACAGCTCAGGACTAAAGAAATGTGCTTATGTGCTTATTCTACTGATTAACTAAAATGATTGCATAGTTAAATCAAGAGAAACTGAACATTAACTGCTTCAAATGTAGTATTTGTTGCAAGGATAACATATTTAAAAGTATTGTATTTTACATGTTAATGCTGTTTTGTCCTCTGTACATTATATTATTGATTTGTAATTCTCTGCTGTTTTTGTTGTAACAGTGTGAAGGTTGTTAGGCTACCTGAGCTCAAACTGTTTTCTTTTTCAAGAGCTGGAAAATAGTACAAATCATTATTTTTCCCCAATGGACCAAATGAAGTTTAGTGAAGAAAATATTTATTTCATACTTCCTTAAACTGCCACTGCGCCAAGTATTTTATGAGACTGGTGTCACAATAACATGTTATGTAATCTGTATGGTACAGGATGGTTAAAAGTTGACATTTTGGTTTGTTTTTTGTTTGATATTGCACTATAGTCAATAGTGCTTCACTACTGTCAGTATCTTGCACATCACTTTAATGTGTATATAAAAATGTAAATAGCATAAAAGAGATGAATAAAGAATTGTTAATGGTAATATCATTTGTAAAGGTCATTTCTTCCTGGTACAATGACACTAAAATAAGTTATACAGCGTCACTCAGTGGATGGGATTGGACATTGCTGTTTATTCCGTTTTGAGGTTGACATGACAATATGTAAAACAACACATTCAATTTTTCTTTCAAAAGATAGTAATACATGTGGAACATGCCAATTTATTTGAATTTGAATGACTTATACTATATGGCTAACTAGGTTTGTTGTTTAATTTGAGCAGCCAAATTTCATTGTATATGTATAAACATGATAAGTAAGCATTAATGACTCATAACCTTGTACTGTGTATTTGTACCAAGGAACGCCCTATAAAACACACAGGATCTCAGACACAATGTGCTCTGAGAAGGCAGCACTCGGTTGGATACTGAACTTGTTGATTGTTACTAGCATTAGTTGCATGCTTTATAACTTACCTAGCTTCTTCCATTATTCCCCAGTGCTGTACATTTTGGTTACAGCACTGAAAAGATTCACTGGGGCTTCTGCACGATATATAAGACAGGGGAGTTGAGGCTGGTTCTTGTCTCTGGACAAGATAATATAATTACAATCTGGGAAAGAGAATGTTTTAGCAAATGGTTTCAAAGCAAAGAAAATGTTTTGTTTTATTGAGGCTAATAGTAGAAACGCTAATAGTTTTAAGGTAATCTTTGCCTAGATCCGCATCTTGAGTGAAGACAACCCTTCAGCAGGTACCTTGGCAATGACATTAGTAAGAGCACAGGTGAAGTGGAAAGATGATTTTCATCAGCTTTAATACACTGCAGTGTGTCCTACTGTCACTGAGTGCAATGCAGTACGTTTTAGACTGAGATACATTCTGTAAACTCCAGTACCACATCATGTGATAGTATACAAGAAACCTGTATGCATGTTACAAGAAGCAGAATTCTCAATGTCATAAGCTTCAAACCAAGATATTAGTGCCGGGATACTGCAGGTCATCAAGCATTATTATTATTTCGGCATTTCCTATAGAAACAAATTGGAGATTGGAGCTAGTTGCTAGGATTTACTAAGATATGTGGGGTTAAACTGCTTGCTGTAAATCATGTCAGGATTTAGACTGAAAGAAGATTCATGGCTTGACCCTGTGTTTTAACTAATATCTAACCTAAACAAAACAGGTGGCTAGCATCTTCATATGAAACTATAGGGAAAAAAAGCTAAATGCAGCAGTGCGGAAAAGAACTAGGTACGCTTCGGCACTTGGTCAAGGCATTGGGGATGGGGAAGGTATGTTATTGGCATGTCAACATCACAGCTCAGACGGACAACACATCTGGAGTCCATGCTGTGCAACAGTGTGAGCTGCGACACCTTCTATTACACACTCACAAGAAGCTACTAGTACACTGACTATGCAAACACGTTACCTTTCACATTTCACATTAACGCACATACGCAGGTTTATCCTTGGCTGTTAGTATTCCAACATTGCTAAATTGATACAGCTATAAATGAAAGTGTTTCTCTGATAATCATTCCCTACAGTACATAATATGACATAAGAATTACACCTTAAATTGATTGGCTACCTATAGCAGAAAATGGACAGTACAGTAATTAATTAGTACTACTGTAATTTAAAAACTATCCCTTCATAAGGTCCAGGTTAGTGTGGAAAACAACAAAACACACAGGTACATCACTCCATCTCACATATACACACATCAATAACCAATAACACCCATCAAGACTAGAGAGTATTCCTGGCCTGTTTTTGTCAGTGTTACATTCAAAATGGTTTAACAGTCGGCATCAGTAACTTCCTGCCTTCATCATATACTGTAGTGACAAGCTTGTGATATTGTCAGTGGGGCCACCTCTGCTTGGTCTTTGGCCTGGTCTTTTCTCTTATGCCCCTCATACATCGTCTAGGGTCATGGGAGTGTCTCTGTCTCCCTCTGGTGCTCAGGGGATTATACTCAATGGGGCACCAAAGTCCCCCAGTCGAAATTAGCGCATCTTGTAGTCGTGGGCTATGGCCGCTTCACACAGCTGTCCTTTGAAATCCAGCTCGAAGGTAAAGTCCAAGTCTCGCTGCAGGGCCAGAGAGTGAGAAAAGACAGATGGTTTGTCAAAGAGAGGAGAGGTAATGATTAAGCAAATACTCTATACAAACTGAGAAAATAATGTACTCGGATCAGATTTTCCAATTTGACCCGACAGCAGAACATGGTGTTAAATAAGCACAGACTGTTTGTGTTAGACAACAGGATGAAGGCAGCCCGGCTTCTCTATCCCAGAAGGGGAGGAGAGGACACTGACAAGGTCAACAATAGAATCTGTTGTTGTTTGTCTGGAAGTCACTGCAGTGCGGCTGCCTACTTGACCGCTATCCAACACTGAGGAGAAAACAATCTGCTGCGGGCAGCCGGCATAGGAAATGAGTCATTCCTCGGTGAGGATATAAAGATAAGTGAAACACAGTTTATAGGCCTATTATATCTGTGTTCTATATTTTCTATCATATATTTTATAGATATAGATATAGAGATAATATATCACCACTTAACATAGCGTCACATGTAATACATCACTTAAAGGCGGTACAAACACTACATGTTAAACTGTGCAATACTCACAGTGTTTTTCTCATTGGGCTTCATAGCAATGCTGCCAGTGATCTCCTCTCCTCTCCGTACCGTCAAGTAGTCCTCCAGGTAGAACACCGTCTGCTTCCAGTGGGTATATGGAGCATCTGGCGCTGGGACACACACACACACACACACAGAAACAGCCATTTTAATCTTAGAACAAAGTGGTATCGCTGTCAAATAAGGCAGCCATTTGTAATGAATGACTTTAATAATAGTTAAAAAGTCATTTATGAGCTATAAGCCATTAATAAGAGCTGCTGCAAGCTTGTGAAAAACCTTTTGGTGTTAAGCCCACACTGACTGCAGTGAATCTGAAACATAATGTAGTTACAATCACCTTATTATCACCCTGTTGACAACCGCTGATACTGAAAGAATCTTTAATGAATGACTTAACATTTATAACTGCTGACTTATTAGAATGTGAAACATTGAGCATTAATTTTTTTTTCCACAACCTATCTCTTATAACTGATATATATAGCATTAGGAGACATTTTATAAATCATTAAGAAATAATTTAATGTTACAATTTAACTCTTTATAAAGAGTGCCTGATAAGAAAGTTGTACCAACAAAGTTTTTGGCAACACACCAACTAAATGTCTCAACAAAAAAAAAGCCAAAATGTCATCCCCCTGTCAATGATGCATTGATTTTTTTCTCTCTAGCCAGTTTACCTTCAGTATTACCAAGGTTGTCTATGCCAGCAAACACTGGGCAGAAGGCAAGAGAGGCATCCTGGACAGGTTGTCAGTCCATCATGGGATAACAGAAACAGTAACACACTTGTCTCCTGTCTAACTGATGTGAATGTCAACTAGAGAATAAACACAAACTGGAAAGAGAAACAGCAGAGACAGTCCACATCCTTCTTTTTTTAAAGCAATGGTGCAAAAAGAGCGGGTAGCTCCACTTGAGTTTAAGATTACAGCACTTACAGCAGGAAATTTGTGACTTCGCTCTTGACCTCTCCACTGTGAGTCTTCTTTCATCACCGCTCCAGTTTGTATCCACTGTGCTACCTTATGTGCATTCATGTGTGTGTATATGTTTGTGTGTCTGTGTGTGTATATGTGTGTGTGTGTGAGACACCCCAGCCCCAAAATAAATGTGCACATTCCCCAGTGCCCTGACCATCACTGATCGCTTGGCTGAGATTCAAAAGGTCAGTAGTGCTTAAATCGAATTTCTGCCAGCTGTCCTGGTGCAGCTTGGTAGCTCTGCCTTTATAGACGAGCTCTTTGTGAGTCCACAGATAAAAGGGCCTGCCAATCAGCATGGTTGCTGCACAGGCCTGCCTCATATTTTTTGCGGCATAGTTCAATAAAGACACTGACACGCTCGCTGTGGCGCTTATGCAAATTCAGCAGATGAGATGGCATTTCTACTGACCAGCGTGAATTGTAATCTCTGACCCCTGCTTGCCCTTTTCTCCTTGTCCGAGGCTCTATGCCTGTCCGATACGCCTGTTTTAAGGAAGTTAAGTTTGCTTGCAAATTTGCAGAAAACCAATAGAAGGGAAGTGGGTAGAGCAGAAAAAGCTGAGGGCTGTGATTTTATATTTCTTAATGGAAAAGATACAAAGCCCTGGTGTTGATCATTAAAGAATTATCAGGGGTTACACACAATTATCAGTACCAAAGGGCCAACAGATACATTCTGCTTTACATATTATTTCAATGTACCATATTTGCCACAACCACTAGAGGTCAGTCACACACAGATTTTGACACACTTCTGTCACTTCGATCGGCAATGTTTGAATCATGTTATTAAGCCTGATCTGAACTGCTCTAAAGTAAAGTGACAATGACGTTTACTATTGTGATGGACGCCTTTACAGTCTCAACACAGACACTTTACAATTAAGTGGTCTTTCATCTATGAGTCGCGTTTTCTTTTTTACTGTTACAAGCAACCAACTCTTGTGGGGCAGGAATGAAACACAATGAGCTTGAGAAATGGATGGCTGTATAACCTGGGATGTTTTGAGCCAGTTACTCCCGTTTTACAGTAATACTGCAAGTGCCTACTGAAGCTGTCAGTCAACTGAGAGTCTAGATTTCAAGCCCCTGGGAGCATTTGGATCCACATAAAATGTTTTTCTTGTGGATGTTTTCTGTCTGCCCAATAAAGTGAAATTTGGCTCCAGTTTATATGTAAGAAGGCCATCAGTATCCTCCCTGTTCCCTCATCTTCCCTCCCTTGCAGCAGTGTATGCTACCAGCATGAAGTATACCCTACGATTTACTACAACATAGGTTAGTGCTCTCATCCGCCCAACATGTGGTCAATTTGTTATCAGTAGTAAGGGCTGTTGGATTTCAAGTCCAGGTCATCTATTTCCCTTGTTCCCTTGCTGAGAACCAGAAGGGTCCACTTCTTCTACATTACAAATTTGAAGCTATCAAGAGAAGAGAGCATATTAATGAGGAGCAGAAAGCACCCACAGCCTCAGTAAAGTGAGTAGCCTTGAGGGAGATACTCAATCTGACCTCTGGGGGTTGCTGTTTTATTGCCGAAGCATGGCCCTAACTAGTTATAAAAAAGGAGATGAAAAATGTTATATATAGTATAATTTTCACCACAAGAATACACAGACTCACATACACCCACACATATGCCTCGATCGCGGCTGCACTGTATGTAAAGTGTGAGTCAGTGGGAGGCAACTTACCGGTGGAGAAACCAATCTTTTTGTGACACTTAGTGAACTCAATGTGGAAGTAGGTGACCAGTGCATGGATGTAGTCGTTCCTCTGGATCTGCAGGCAGAACGCTGAGGTAAATGAGAGGTCTTCAGCCTTTACCGTGTAGATGTCCACTTCCTAGAGGAGTACAGAGATGGACTCTTCTCAAATATCTGGACCACATAAACAAAACTCTGACACCACAAGTCATTGGTCAGTCTAATCTCTAAGCCCTATTCACCCCTTTGTAATAGAATTATAGGTTCTCCATTCCTCCCTATGGGGACTGTGCCAACATCCTATAACTATCAAGGCTGAGGCCAGTAACCCTTGTGTAAGTAGGACAAGAATCATTGACCTGGGGTTATTAGGGAGGTCCAACTATTGTCAAGCTCCAGGTGTTATTCATGTGTGGTGTTAGCAACCGCAAATCCCAAATGTCCCCTCGTTCCAGTCAGTTTAACAGGGGATCTGATATCACATCGTCCCGCTAGGCCACATTTATAGAAGAACATGTTGTTCCACATCCTGGTTTACTGTTGTGTGAACGGCACTGCGCCAACATATCATGTTAACTTTGATAGCAGAGCAGCTCACCTGAAACCCACAGTACGCTACAGGGTAAACATGTAGGCAGAGGTGTGATAATCTTGTTTCATGTACCATTGCTGCTAATAAATATTCACTGCTTGCTTGCTGGCTTTGGTGCCAGATGCCACATTTGCTGTGGAGCAATGAGCCTTATGTTTGCTGGCAATAAAAACAATGCAATATTAATGTCAGATTTCCTCTGCTGTCTTGAGAAAAATCACTCCCATAAACACATTATTCAGATATTTACACTGGTCATGCAGTATAAACTTCTAAAAGACACATTTCTAAGTTTAAGACAGCAATATAATGCACTGCAATATTTACCCCTTGCAATTACTCGAAAGGAAAAATAAAACATTTAAGAGCACAGTCATGCAGGTTGTTAATGTTAAATAAATTAGTTTCTGCAGGATATTCTTGGTAATGGTCCTCACTGAGTATTGCAACCAAAGTTTCAAGCAGCAGTTTAATAACATGAGCTCCTATGTGTACTACTCCTCAGCTACACAACTTTAATGAGGTCATTCAGTAATCCATTTAAAGACAATAAAGCTTGTCAGCGGGGTATCATATTTGTAAGGCTTCTTTTTGCAAGACACAAGACAGCATTCCCATTAGCTTCATAGATTTTTATTAAACTCTCATGACTGATTTCTTTGCTGGTTTTATATCTCACTGCATTTAAAATGAAAGGCTGTCTGATATCAAAAAAACAAAAGCTGGGTGCTTGACAATCAACAACATGAAGAAAGCAGCACTCAAGGTATGATCAAAAAGCAATATCCCACCCGCACAGAGGTGAGACAGGGCAGTGCCGTCTAATCAACTCCAGCCATAAGGTCACTATGACAAGGAGCACAATCAGGAGGACTAGACGGGCTGCTATTGACATGCATGGCACAGCAGCCTGATCACTCTAATCCACACAGTGAGAGGCACAGGCAGGGAAACAGCAACACATCAAGGTCGTACTGATACCAGCTGCAGCATGTCATACTATATGTATACCAATCAATCCATGTCACTAAGTAGTTATAGTTAATGTATGTGTGTGTGTGTTTTACCACTGTAATCTTGCTGACATGTCTGCATTACAGTTTATAATAGCCGCCTTATTTAGAATTCTCTATGGGCCATCTGCTAATGTATTGACAATGTACAGTTTAATCACTCCTTATTTCGTGCAGTGTGGTCAGCTCATTTATTTTTGGTGCCGATTTTTCAGCTGACAGGTGCACTGAGATTAGAAAATGGTGCTCAGGGTGTGTCGTACCATGAATACCTTAGTAATTACCAGTAATCAAAATGTCATATTATATGTATACATCAGTAGTTGGTAGAGTTTGCCCCGTTGTCATGGTAATGTACATAATCTCATTTTTCTGAACGCTTTAAAGGTGGGGTATGCCATTCTAGGTAATGCGATTCAATAGATAAAAAAAAAAAAAATCAAATTTAGCAAAGATCTCCTCGCTTTCCACTCTGTGTGTACTCTGAAAAGAAAACCCGGTGATTGTACACAGCCCTGGCTCTGCAAATGGGAAACAAACAAAGCGGATCAGACGGAGCCACACAACACTAACTTGTTGTCTCAGCCATTTCAGCCATGATTTGTGTGAAAGGTAACGTTAAATTACTTGCACATGCATTCAGCTTAATTTCTTGCTTGCCAAGAATTGCTGTTGTGATGTTAGCTACAGTAGCAGAAGAGTTGTGAGTATCATTGTCTGGAGCTGGTGTGCTGGTTCTGGGAAACCGTCTCGCCCTCTATGCATGGTAGCTTTGCAGCAGCAACTTTAGCGACACACTCACATCACTTTCTGTGTAGATGTTTGCACTGTATCATGGTATTTGTCATAGTAGTGGATTGCTTACCATAGCTTTAAGGACTCTGATGTCCATGTTGGCTTAGAAACTGTGGGGATATGACTCCAAAAAAGCTATTAAAGGTCCAGTGTGTAACATTTAGGGCTATTGGCAGAAATGGAATATATTTATAGGTATGTTTTCCTTACTGTATAATCACCTGAAAATAAGAATCGTTCGGTTTTCGTTACCTCGAATGACTCATTTTTATCTACGGAGGGATCGGATCCTATTCTAGGAAGTCCACCCTGCTGAACCGCTGTGTTTCTACACTAGCCCAGGACAGAGTTTTTGATAGGCTGCACATGTTTATTAACCACTGGCCATCAATGGCATTGAAAGAACAGAAAGTGCCAGTTAAATCTATTAACATGCCTGCAAGCTTTGTAATGCTTTTATGCCACAAAAGAGTCTACAGCCATAGTAGTGGCTCTGTGAGGCTGTATTTAAGTAGTGCATTGAACTAAATGGTAACATCAGCATGCTAACATGCAATAATAATATGCTGATGCTAAGCAGGTGTAATCATAACCATAACAATCATCTTAGTTAAGTGTCATAGCATGCTAACATTTGGTACAATACATAAAGTGCAGCTGAGGCTGATGGGAATGCCATTGGCTTTGCAGGTATTAAGTCATAAACCAAAGTATTGGATCAGTTGAAATCTTGATCAAAAGATGCTGCTAGATGATTACAATTAAATTACAATTTTCATCCTCAGGGGGACATCAATGTGTTTACCAAACTCTGTGGAAATCCATCCAGTACTTGTCAAGAAGTTTCACTAAAAACCACAAATGTCAACCTCATCATGGTGCAAAAGGAAAAATCAGAGGTTCAGCAAAGTCAATAGGATCCATTGTCTGGGCACCATGGGTATCCGTATCAAATTTCGTTGCAATCGATCCAATATTTGTTGAGATATTTCAGTCTGCATGCAGTGCAGGTGATGGAATGACTGCCCAAAAGTCCAACACTGCCCTTACCAGAAAACTGTGTACAGCAATGTAAACTCTCACTGCTCTGGGTCTACAGCTGACATTTCGTCAGGCTTTGTGATGACCCGATCACCTGCCATGAGCCAAAGTATTGTCAATATTTTACTAACCTTGATGAGGCAGGAGTTTGTCACCACCTGTTTGGGGTCCACTACGTCCACCAGTGGTTCCTTCATGGCCACATTACGGATACAGGTCATGTCAAAGCCATACACGTTCTCCCACCCTGGTAAATACAGCATTGTTTAGTTACTTTGCCACCAATGTTTTCTGTTAGTCTTGGTAAACTGCAAACACATGACATAGTTTTCTTCATTCCAAGTTTTGATTCAGTTTATTAAGTTTTATAGGGTTGGAAAAGCAACAGGAGGAGTAAACAGTTGGGCTGCAGCTGTAGAACAACACAAGTCGGGCACTTACTCACGGAGCTTCCTAGAATGGTGTGATATACCACCCCAGAGTAAGACCTCCTGTCATTTTGGAACAATTTTTATTTTGACAGATGAAAGTCACATTGTGTTAGGGGATGATTTGTAGACATAAGGCTCCTTGAACGCAGCCTCCCCTCTTGCGTCGGATATCCTTGCTGCTTTGGCTGAATAATTCCATACATTATTCATTAAACTCCTTAAGATAGCGTGTGAGCAAATATCTCTATCATGACCCAAAAGGAGAGAGAGCTACTTGAGTAAATCGGAGAGCTGGTGATAATGAACAGGTCGCAAACCCATGGGGACTGTAATGCACTGTATTTGCATTTCTTGCTGCCTACTTAACAAAGGCAGTGTGCAGCCCAGAGTAGCATTAATGACCACAGGATGCTTTTAGAATACTGGAGAGCTTCAGAAGGCCACTTCTAACTCAGTCTGAAGGTCATTTTGGGCCATCTACCCTGGAGAGAAATAAGTTTGTGGTCAATATGTGCACTTGTCTTACCACTTGTCAGAGAATAATGGAACTGAAGTATCTAGACATCAAAGTAAAGCGTTTGCAAAGCAGTGAGCCAATGTGATATGACTTTCTGGATATTAGCTGATGCAGTGTGGTTGTATAATTTCCCAGATGCACGTGGGTGTGTGAGTAGGTGGACTATTGGCTATTGTTCTGTTTGCGCGCCTTTTGTCATCTGGGTTGTGCACTAGGCTTACCACTGACTTTGGCGCTGTTTTAATGCTTTCTGTCCAGCAGCAAAACATCGCCCACAGTCCTCCTGGCAGGTTTAGAGTGGGATGATACAGAGATGGAGAGGCTTGTTGACTTATAATATCAATTATCGCCCCCAGTGTTATGCCTAAGGAAAAGTTCAAAATCATTTGCAGAGCTGGGAAAGATTGTTTATGAGTGTGCCCACATTTGTGTGAGTACAGTGCGGAGGTGTGGACGGTGTTCTACATCCACGGTTAATTTACAATGTAAGGACATAATCCTCGTAATAGCCACCCAAGAGCCACACAGAGTACACCAGGTACAGCACAAATAAGTGCCAGCTTCAGGTAATACACGCATCCAGCCCCACATACACACTCTCACACTGAACTTACAATGTATTTTGAAGTCTTTGTACTGCCTGTCTTCTATGGCAACCACATACAGAGAGGCACGGTCAGGAAACATTAATCCACCGGGTTTCTGTTTGACAAACGAGGCAAGGAAATAACTCAGCAATTAATCTAACTAAACGCGTCACACAAGGTCTACATTACAGCGCTGGTGACATTTCATTTCTCAGCCAAGTACAAGTTTAAATCACTGAGGTGTTATCGTGACGCTACGTGCAGACTGGAATAGCAGAGGTGTGGATATGTATAACTATGAGCCAACTATTATTTTCCAATAACCAAATGTAATAAACAATAATATGAGATAGAAGTTAATAATGTAACAATTCTCCTTTTTATTAATAAACACAATGTTGTAATCCTTGCTTGTATTTTTCAGCATTGCATTATTGAGTTTATTATTTAGCAATAAAATAACCTTATCTCTGGCTTTAGCTGTAGCATCATAGCTAATAAACAATTCCTTTGAAGATGGACCCTAATAATGAAATTATATTCAAATTATTATTATCTCAATAATGACAGAAACATGTTTAAGGTTTTTTTTCAAGTGGCAGTAATGTCCTTCCAACAACACTAGAAACTAAAGCACAAACTAATTCAGAAAACAACATACATTATTTATCCGGCTAAAATGTTGGATAATACCTACATTTTAAGACTTTTTTTTAAAGAACAATATATGTCAATTTAATTGGTTCTGTTATTAGATTACAATTCAATTCTATCTAGAAAAGTCATTAAAATTTAAATTGTTACCTCACAGTATTTTCTAACAATACTATTCATGATTTATTTATTCTATTTTATTCATAATTCATAATTATTACAGTGATGGTTTATTTCGTCCTTGGGAGATTTGTTACTGATGTTATTTCAAGATATACCTAAAATATCAGGCCTACACACACACACTGCACAGCTCATACTGTACCAGCCACTTGTCCCTGGCAAAGATGACGGTGTTGAGCATGGATTCATAGAACAGGCAGTAGCCCATCCACTCGGATATTATGATGTCAACCTTCTCAACAGGAAGCTCCACCTCCTCCACCTTTCCTTTGAAGATGGTGATCACTGCAACACAAAACATTTAATTATTATAATAAATTAAATACATATCAAAATATTTGAAGTTGCAAATGTAGGACTGTCATTTGCCATTTTTCACAGTATCACAGTACAATGAAAATGTTATTTTTCATACCATCTCTTAAGCTATTGAAAACAAAAAGGTACTGAGTTATATTAGCGTGTGCAAGAAATAAACTGATAATATTTGAAAGAAAGAAAGAAAGACAGAAAGACAGAAAGACAGAAAGAAAAAGAAATAAAGAAAAAGAAAAATTTGTTGTTGACACATTAGTTCGTACAGTATGTCCTCACATGGCAGCCATGGTGTTCTTATGGAAATCAGCCCAGCTGGGGTTTACAATGGAGGCATGGATCTTTGCCCTGCCTGAGATTAGCTGACTTCAGCTTTGTTTGTTCTGTCTTGGCAAGAAGTTTTTGAAGAGTTTCCCTGGTGATACAAGTGTCTGTCAAAATGACATATGAACCCTATCGCTCCAACTGCTGATTGCTTCCTGCTTATTCACTGTCTTAAACTCAGAGTGAACATAGTGTTAACTCTTTGCTCAATTACTTGTGCATACTTAATATTCATAGGTTTATAGATAGGACATTGGCTGACAGGGTGGTTTATGGAGCTACCATTTGGTAGATGCACAGTCAGTAAATTTGTTTTCAAAGTTGCAAGGGCATTATGACAGAACCATATGCTTTGAAGTTGCATAAGTTGGAAGAATGTTTGTGCAAATGAATACAAATGAGCCAGCCTAGCGTCATATAGAATGATAAACACAGGTTCAGAATTAGACCATCCTCACAATCATTCAAAATCCTGAACGGCGGGATACCCATGACCCCCTTCCTCCTCTTCTTCTCCTCATGCATATCCGCCAGCCTTCCCTCCCTCCTCTTCAATCACTATGCCTGTCACGACTATAACCACGTTTGTTGCTCCCCTCACTGCAGATGAAGTGCAGTGTCATCAGAACGGAGAGAGGAGGAACAGCTGCAGCTCTTACCACTGTCGAGGTGGTTGGACTTGATGATCCTCTCTGAGTACTCTGATATACTGGAACATTCAATCTGGAAGAGAGAAGAAGAAACAAACAAATTAACTGACCATAGATGTAGGACTGTGGTGCTTTGGGAAGAATATCTTTAATGGAATGTTTTCTGCACAATAACATGTCCTCAGTTTGCCTCTAATGCAGATTCAGAAGACTTTAAATGTTACTGTAGTACTAATGTTTACTGGAAGGCCTCAGATGAACTATGTTTCTGTAGCTGACTTACATATTTGATAAATGCATACTGTAAATTCAGTTGCAAAGACAAGCCAACTATAACTATTAAACCCTTTAGTCCCTCTTCTATTAAGGACACTAATTTACTTTGCTTAAATCCTGACATTTTAAGTCCATCCATGTGTTTGGTTGGATAGAAATGTGTAATGGCTAGCTATGGTTGCATATATTTCTTCCACCACTGGTCTTTAGAGACTACCTGTTCTGTAAAGACCAGCGGTGGAAGAAATATTCAGATCCTTCACAGAAACAAAGAACGTTCAACTTTTTTGTTTTGTCTGGAAGACCCTATGGACAAAAGCGGTGGTGCTTCTACCATTTTGTGAATCATTCGACCCAGTGGCAGGCCTTAAGAATAACTATATATAAATAGCCAGTCTTCTCAACGGTCATATAAGCATTGGTATTAAATTGAGAGTATGAAATGAAAAACTCCTCAAAGTACTAGTAAATGTAAAAATACTCCATTACAATTCCCATATGAGAAGTTGAAGTACAGAAGTATTAGCAGCTAATTGTACTCAGCTTTAAAGTAAAAGTACTCATTTCATCCCAGTGATATATTATTGGGCCTACATATGACATATTCAGCTGGTACTGATGCAACAGTGTGCAGCTAGTTTGACCTTTTTTTTAATCTACAGCTAGGTAGTTTAGTTCAGTGGTTCCCAACATAGGGGTCAAGCCCCCTCAACCTGGGGGTTCACAAGATGATTAATGCTAGATAATGGATTATTTGACCCCATTAATAAAGTTTGTAGGAGAAATCACTCTTTGGTGGAACTGCTAGTATCTCATAGATAATCCAAAATCACGCTGCTTTGAATTGATTTAAAAATGTGGTGTGTTTTATAAAATTTTAAATCTTACTCTAAGCTGTCACATAAATTGAATGGAGTAGAAGTGAAGTATAAAGTAGCTGAAAGGGAAATACTCAAGTAAAGTTCCGACTTTTTTTAGCTACTACCCGGATGCAGTTTTCTTCCCTAGAAGGTTAGTGGCAGACTGATGATAATTTATGTCCCACATGTGGTAATTACAGACAGTTGCAAATGCTCCTAATCATATTGCTTCACTCCTCTCATCACAGCGCACTCCAGTTCTTTGTCTGATTTGGAAAAAAAGAATAAAGAACGTCCAGTATTGAATCTTTCTTTTGGAGTTATTGCACCGAGCATGTTCATCTGTCCAGTACTGCAGCCACCATAATGTGCTCTCTGGGGTAGAAAACAAGGTCATCTTTGTTTAGTATCTCTCTGTGGATGGTTTCCACTCCAGTCCTGAATAAAACACTGTAGGCTTGCACCTGGCTAGCAAACCTGAAAGCATATTTCTGTTGATGGTCTCATAACATCATTTATTAACCATTTTTTAAAATAAGTATTGAATATAATTAAATTATTTAAATACTGATTAATACAAAAGACTGCACAGTGAAAAACTGGCCAGCTGGATCTTGGAAGTTGTAAAAGAAAGGAGAGCAGGCCAGCTTTTAGTTTGTGAAGGCATTTTGTCAGAGGAGTTCTTCCTGTCTGCAGCGTTTGATACTAATAAAGTTTTTTTTCACTTACAGAATGTTTGTGACTTGTGAGCCTGACAGCAGCATGTAGCCAGCAAGGGAGAGAGTATCATCTGCATTGTGCACTGCATTGCAATTTAGCATTAAAGAAGTGTCCTGGTGTCATGATGAAAATGGCAGATGATAAAAAATATGAAGGGATAGAAATTACAAGGTGACAGGCCTCTGTGCCAGTCCCTGAAATGCTGCCAGAGCATCTTACTTTAAGTAATTAAGGTAACGATTAGTCACTGCTCAACTGCAACCAGCCATTTAGCTCCGATGGGACCTTCAACTTCTACTTCCATTACTCTTTTGACACTTTAAATTCTTTTAAATTATCCTTTCCCCACTGCTTATTTCTTTGTCCAATTTCTCTCCTGCATCTCTATTCTATCGCATTTCCCTCCATGCCCTCTATTTTGTACCTTTTCTTTTGTGTGCTGAGCTCCTTGCTTGACATATTTTATACTTCCTCTTCTGTCCACCAAATGCTGGATGAATTATTAAGGTGCCAGCAATAACAGAGTTATAGGATAATAAAGGTCCTTCATTCATCAGAATACACTCTGGACACTTCTTGTAAGCAGCTCCCAAACAAAATAAGAGCATAATTCAGCAGGAGGCATTTGTCAATACCAACCTCTCCCAGCATCGGGCAGTCTGAGAGTATAGATTTTCACCTGAGAGCGTGCACTCTGGTCCTCCTACCCTGGGATTCTGTTTGTAAGAGGTGTGCAGACTTATTCGTGCTGCAGGACATCCATCTGGTTGTAATCATGTAGACACTTGAATGAACTCTAGGTGCTCTGGATCGTAAAAAAAGGTAAAGCCAGGCTGGGACCCTTACGTAGAGAGCAGGGTGAAAAATAGAAGCACTCAACTATGCCTCAAGCTCTCATGGAAGAATTAGGTCTATGGGGGGGTCCTTTTATTTTAGAGGCAGAAACTGATTAGTTGTGCTCTATAAGCAACACACCAACTGTGAGAGGGACAAATTAAGAGGTATCCTCTAGTATTTTTTCTGCTTTCGAGTGAAGGTCTTCAGCTTCCCTGCTGACCATTCACACAGGATGCAGGGACTTGACATTAGCACTGCCTCCCTGGAGCAGCCCTATTCTCTACTGCCTATTAGTGGAGGACCGGACATGAAGCTGCTGGTGTCGCCCACGGCCTGCAAACAAACCCATTAAAAACCTAGGCTGTATCAACTGCATAAACAAACAAGAATGCCTGATATTGCACCATGTGTGTACGCGTATGCACTTGCAGGCATATGTGTGTATTGCTGTGTGATAATATGGCATCCAATGACAGCCCTCTAATTGGCAATGATTTCTCATCTCTTTCTGAATCTGTGTGAGAAGAGACAGCCATTAGCCACATGTCCATCAGAGTCATGCTTCCGTGGGAGTACTGAAGCCTCGAGGGGTGTTAGAGTCAACACACCCTCACACTGTGCCTCCTGCACCTTTTGCTAGTGTCAGAAAAAGTCACTGTCACTGTAATAACTGTGGGTTCCCACTAGTCCTTCTCTCTGGAGTAACAACAAGTACAAGTTTCTAACTTGGTCCAGATGCCATGGCACTTCTCCCCTCTGTCTGAGCTCTCAACCAGCGAGTCATATGTGCATTGGAAATAAGTTAAGGAAGACAAAAGCTACACTTGCAAATGTACTGACTATGTTAAAGGGCATTCTACAACAAATTTACACGAACAAGTTTTGATATACTATCAACTTATCAACCAGCATCTGCAAATGCCTAGCGTTACTTCCAGGAGACAGTCATCCCTGTGCACATTTGAATGACATTAAGCTCAGCACATTCTGGCTACTATTCTCTCTCTTCTATTAATGGAAAGTAGCTAAACCCTGTTTGAAATGTAGATTATGTCCCTGTCACGAATCCTCTTTGACCTCTTGTATTCATTCAGTCCACCTGTGTTCTTCCCTGTTGTTAAATCTGCTGTCACTGCAGACCCAACCACACCTTCCTTTCCTCTCATAACTCTGTTCCCGCTAGTTTCATCCACTTACTCCAGTAGTATTTATACCAGACCACCCCCAAATGTCCCCTGCCAGGTTGTCTTTTGCACTTTGCTAAGCACTCCAGCGGCCTTTGTTTTACCTGAATTGATTCTTTGCATGTCCCTAAATCAAAAATGAACAAAATCCCTTAAATCTTAGCCACATTATGTGGAAAAATCCTGCCAGATGGACAGCAGTAATACAACTGTGAGGTAAAGCACAAACTCAAGTGATTTTTCAGTTTAAGAACAAAAAGAGGGATAGAGGAAGTGAGTGAGACAGCAGAAGAGGGAAGGAAAACAAAACACGAAACGGAGGCGAAGTCACATAAACACAGAATTCCAACCACTAGCTCAGAACAAGTCTCTTGGCAATTGCAAGTTAATCATTCCCTGAAGCAAATATATGCTGTCTGGAGCCACCGTACAAAAATAAGTTCCACCTGGTTATCCCAAACTAGCGGTGTGTATCCAGCATGCATTCTCAGACATGCCTTGACTAGCAATTACTTCTGTGCCAGTACACAATAACAGAAAGAGCTCTCAGATCACTACGACTCAGCCTGTCAACCTGCCTGAGAGGCCAAACACTTTTATCACCTGCCTGTCACACAAGATATTCCTCCAGGATTATAGGGAGTCTTGGCGAAACATGGTTAAAATGTATGTACAGATCCACAGAGAGCCAGTCGGACACATACAGTACATAAACACAGTGTGAGCAGCTTGTCAGACTGGGCTCCAGAGTGATTAGACCCTGATGGTTCAGCAGGATAACACTCCACTGAAAGGGAACACTTCTTACCCCATACACGTGCTTTGCCCCTGCTTTGGCCGCAAACATGGACAGGATCCCCGTCCCGCTTCCAACATCCAGCACTATTTTGTCCTTGAAGACGTGCTTGTTGTGGTACATGGAATTCCTGTAGGTGAGCGTCCTCACTTCGTCCTTCAGCATCTCCTGGTTTTGCATATGACAAATTATATCAGGAAGATGTTGACACAGCTCACCCCTGTGGAGAGCGACAATTTGTTTTGCTGAATTAAAACATCGGCTGGACAATGGGGGTCTGGATTTGCTGTGGTATCTGCAGTGGAGAGCTGACAACACACAGCCTTCACCTAATCTTACTCTATTACATCTCAGCCGTATGGTTCTATATTCAAATCCATAGTTGGGGTTTCTGAATAAGCCACATGAGCCTGCAGGCTCAGTCTGTCTGCATCTCTTTCCTGACTCTCTCGCCAACAGAGTCTATCTTCAGAGTGCATGCATGTGTGCGTGTGAAAAATATTCAGAAATGACAAAAATATATACCTGACCTACATTCCAGAAATATAAAAAAAACATTTCACAGGTCACACTAGGAACATGCTCTTTTTATACAACCTCTAATACTTTCTCTATCCTCTATTTACAATTCTGCTAAACTCTGATAAAAAAAGATGAAAATATCATCTTCACTAGTGGAAATATGAGACACATAAAGAAAGAAAAAACTATTTCATTTGTTTAGAAAGAGTTAGAGAGCAAGATTGAAAAAGGTTCATAGGTTTTGAAGTATATCTTAATCAAAATTGCCCTAGTCCTCCACCATTCCCCATCAAGTCCAAACTGTGTGTACAGCTTAAGCAGAGCATCAGTATCCCAGGCAGAAATTTCTCTCAGGCTGGGTTCACATCTCATGTCCTTTGATGGGATTGGCTGACCATAACCTCGACCATGGTCCTAAACGTCTATGACATATAGCATTTGGTTTTTGTAGGTTGTTGTAGCAGTACACAGCAGGAGGATAAGCTGCCTGGGAGGTTAAGTTCAGGAAAAATGTCACACACAATCATCATAAAAGTGCCTTACCAACACACAATAGAGGAGTCTGAAACAATTAGGTCTCCAAAGAGAAAAAAAGAAGTAAAGGAAAAATGTCATGTGGATCAATGTCAGCAGCAAACAAAGGTAACTATTCAAAGCCATTTAATTGTTTCCACGTCTGTGTGGCTGCAGGGTCCACATGACGTAAATTTCAGCATCTGGACAGGTCTGCGAGGACTGTGCATGTGCTACAAAAGTAAGCTAGACGTTTATTTTGTGCATTGTATTCCCCATCCGTGGTCCTATTCTTGTTGCAGTGACACTCACGTTTTTTTTTTTTCTTTTGACATTTTCATGTTGTTCAGCCAAATACAACTAACAAAAGAGATCTTTTTCATGCTGTCAGGAGGTTGCCATCACGGTTTCTAGTACGCAAGTGTCGAACGCAAACCCTCAATTATAGTATGTATAGAAGCCTGCCAAATCTGCAGGTGTCCATGTCCATTTTGGAGTATGATAACGGCTTTAGTGTAGGCTTTTAAAGTTGGAATGCTCTATTTGAGTTACTTTTGCCAGGTATTTTTTGCCAGTTTTGTTCAATTTTCAGACCGAATTAATAAAGTATAACAACTACTTTAACAACTTGGGACTTGGGACATTTGTAATTTAGCCTCCTATTCTCCTGTTGGTTGTAATGACATTTTATCCACAGACTTCAATGCTGAGATCCAAGGGCAACTGCCTGGGAAACTCAACATAGATCAAACACAAAGTCTGCACTTTAATGATAAAAGCCACTTATGGGGAATTAAATAGGAAAACATAATTGTTCATAACACGTCAACAAAGTCTTGCAGAAATATATCCAGGGTCAATTTCGGTCCATTGCATCACCCAGTTTTACAATGCGATGGATGTTTCACAGGTGCAGTTACTTGTGTTCACTGATTGACGTTTGACAACTAGCAGTAACACCTTCTACAATGTGAATAATGAGTTGTTTGGTATGGATTTATTTTATTACTTTTATTTGGGAATAGACACGGTTGCAAAAATGTGCAGTTGTATGTGGAGCTGTCATCGTTATCTGATGTCAAATGTTTGAAGGAAGATGCATATTCCACAGGGTGAAATAGTAACTGCAGGCAGTGCACAACTTAGCGTTTTCTTGGTACTTCTATAAAGGATGTGTCAGAAATGCAAACAGGAATGTGAAAACTGAGAACAAGAATGAACACAGGAATATTAAAACAGAAAAAAAATGTGTTTGTGAGTGATTCTCATTAGGGCATACGGGCATACCTCATGTATACCAAAGTGTGCATATGAGTCAAAGTAGTAGTCACGTGAGGTCATCTCCTCCGGGCTAAGGAATTTGGACATCTTGCCCCGCCCGGGACAGCTAGGAAGGCTGGCGGCATGGGGCGTATGTGGCGGCAAAGGAGTCCTCGCGGCATGCTGGATGGAAGGCACCGGCTTGGGCAATGAGGTGGGCTGTGCCGACTGGGATGGAATTATGCGGATTGGCTGTGGCTGTGGCTGTTGCTGTGGTTGCTATAAAGAGAGAGATAAAAAGAAAAGAGCTCATTGAGGCTGAGGACTCTTTTGTTAGTCAAATCACTTTTGGAGTAAGAAGCCAAACAAGGATGTAACGCCAAATTGGCATCAACAATATGACTGCCATTTGCATTAGCGGACGGTGATTGGCTTTGACTTCTCCGCCATTTCCCTTAACATTTTCATCTGCTCTCATGCCTCTCAGCTCATCTGTCAGTCTACTGATTCATGAAGCAGTCTGGTGAGTTCACAGAGTCCAGAGAGCCCCACTGTGTGCAGAGGATACTCTGATCACTGACATTAAGTCTGTCTACAGAAGGCTTAGATGGCGAGAAAGCTCTGTTCTGCACAGAAGGTACACCCATAATGCTATGATTATCACCTCTGAGGCCAGCTCAGAAGGTCTAGCCATGATGTCTGTGTGTATCTGTGTGTGTTGTTTGTGTTTGTGTGTGTGTGTTAGATTGTGAGTAAGTAAGATGGAGAAACGGACTCCCAGCATCTCAGTTCTGAGCCAGTTAGCCGTTCTGGTGTTTATTCTCATTCCAACTTTCAGGCTTCTAAATATAAATGATAAATTGGCACAGTGGACAAAAATAGGTTGTGTTTTTAGACGACTGACAGCGATGCTTTAGTATTACAACAGTATATTTCATTTTGAATCTGGAAATAAAGAAGGAAGAAAATACAGGAAAGCTAATGAAGGTACAGCATAAGGTTATTCATTTTCTCGTGCACATTCTCTATAACTTTGAAAATAAAGTATTTTTTACTACTAGTTCTGCCTTTTCATGCATTTGCATTAAATTTGCATTTATATCATTTTGCAGCACACCCTCCCTGACACTTGCTGCTCCTGGAATTTCAACAATCTCTTATGTGTTTTTTAGAACTTCAGTTTCTGTACCACGTTCATGGTCAGTGTTAAGTGTTGAAGATTACAACAATTATGACAATAACCCACAGAAGTAAGTCTAACTCTGCTACTCATTTCAGGTAATTTCACATAAGTGTCCAATCTAATAAATAGACTGTACTTGTATCGCAGTAGTCTTCCAACCACTCAAAGCGCTTTTATACTACATGCCACATTCACCCATTAACACAGTGATGGATGACCCACCACAAACATAAACTAGTTTAAAGGACACTTGGACAAGCAGTAGGAGGAGCCCGGGATCAAACCACCAACCTTCTGATTAGTGGACGACCCACTCTATCTCCTGAGCCACAGCCATGGCATATATAGTCCGTCTGGCTGTTGAGACTTACTGTGTCAGTGAAGTCTCTGCGACACATAGATCTAAGGGACTTAGAGTAGGATTTCTGTCAGTGGCATTGATTCTTCCTTGTTTGAGAGTGTCAATTCTCCCCCTCCTTCTCTTCTTCCTTCGCCTACATGTATCTATCTCTTTAAAACGACCATCATTATTCATCTTTGTCCTCTGTTTTCCTGCTGGGCTTAAATGCCACAGACTGGGACATATGACCAGAAGAATGATGCTTAAAAATAACTGGTCACAACATGGTGCATTCACACTGACCTGTTACATATGAGGTGTTCATTAATGATGCATCATAGAAGTATTTTAAGCCATGCTGTGTGGCTCAGGGGATAGTAATGTCAGCCAGTCAGCCATCATTCACCACTTTGGTCCAGACTGAAATATCTCCACAGCTATTTGATGGATTGTCGTGAAATGTTGTTCAGACACTCATGGTTCCCTGGTGGATGAAGCCTACTGACTTGAGTCATCCTCTAACTATACCTATAGCGCCATCAAGATGTTGATTTGTCCACTGCTTTGATTTATGAGCAAAACTAAACTAATCAGTCTCAGCTGTGCTGATTAGCAAACGTTAGCATGCTCAAACACTAAACTTAGATGGTGAACATGATATCAATTGTTATTGTGAGCATGTTAGCTGAGGTTAGCATCTTGCTCAAAGCACCACTCTGCCTATTTACAAAGCTGCTAGCATGGCTGTACTCATTTATACCCACCCAGTTAGCCTTCTGCTACTCCACATCCCAAGTCTCCTAACAACAACTGCAACATCCAAATATTAATAGCCGAATAAATGAATCATTAAATCATGCAAAATTAAAAGCTAAAGTTTTAACCTTTTTTAATGGTTAAGTAATAATTTAAGTGTTGCCTTCTCCTTGCCTTTAATGGATTTGCAGTTGATCTGTACAAATTATATATATTGGTGATAAAGCCTACATAAAAACTCTCTTCAGAAAATAAATTCAAACACTGCGTAGCATTAGCTTTTTATCATCCAACCCATCCAACATACAATCGATGTACTTGTATTTCATTAAATATTACATGAGGAGAGTTTTTGATTCATTATATAAAAGACTAGATGCACGGAGACTTGTTATTAAAAAGGAAAGACTAACTGTTGAACTTCTCTTAATCCTTTAAGCCATGATGTTGATCTGAAGAGCACTTCAATACAGTGCAGCATAGTAACCCACTATTTCTCACAAACTGTTAACTCAGACTTTACTGTAACTGCCTGATAATATATTTTATTGGTGTATTACTTATCCCTTGTTACAAACAAATGTTTCCATTTAGCAACTGACCCCAAGTTACACTATGCGGACTTATGAGATGCATACAGTCCCATGTGTAAAGACTGCAGATGAAATCTTTGCCATCTTCTAAAAACAATTTACAGCAGTAAAAGCAAAGAAGCAGGATTTGATACACAGCTGGCCCCAAGCCAACACTCCAAGAGTCAATAATTGCAAGACAGGGCCACAGAAGAGGTGATTAAGGCTGCCAAGTTTAATACATAATCAATGAGAACTTTCAAAAAGTTGCAATGCAGAAAAACAAAATCGCTAAGGGATAGATTAAAGGAGCCTTGGGGGGGCAGCAGGGGCAGAGGAGAGCAGCTGCACTGACTGTAACTGAGATGCCTTGACACAGGAAAGACAGGGTGGCATGTCCTTTCCTTTGACCCCTGAGACAGATAAACACCTTTGGGGTTCTATTTCAGACTGGATCCTTACCTCCACATGGAGGTGAGGATAATAGGTGTGTTAATAACAGTTATTTGAGAAGGACATTCAATTGGTAGCCTACTTATGTTCCACAGTCTGTACGAGGGGACACACAGTCACTTTGCACCTGTTTGACTGTTGAAGATGACCCCTGTTTGTGCATCTCTACTCCTGAAAGTCAGTGATAATGTCAGTAGGTGGATTTGTAGGGGAAATGATATGCCAGTTGAAGGGAAATTAGTGTTTCAATGCATATCTGGGAAAATGTACCAGATAGATGACTTAAAGGCTATAATGGCCTGAGGGCTTTTTACTGTGGTAAGGTCAGAGGAAATCATCATCTTAAATGATACTTTCATGGAAAAATTTCTACACTTTGGTCTTCTGCCATTACGGCACTTAAGCGCCTCTGAGGACACAAATATTCCAAAAGAGCAGAGAGCAGCGGAAGGCAGAGCTCATCCATCCAGGCTGTATCCTTTCATTATAATGTATCAGGTGCCTGCTGCCCTCAGACGTGAAAAAAATGTTGAGAGTTTGAGGAGGGAGGCTCCTCCCGTGAATAAACTTGCTTTGAGGGGACTTTATCTGATGAATAATGTTTAATAAAGCAACACGAGGCTGTCTCCAACTCCACAGGGTGTTTGAATCTTTTAAGAATTACTTGCAGATGAATCAGCACTGCTCCTTCAGCAGCCAGTCACATTGTGAATACAGATGTGGCACAGGGCTCAATAAAACATTGGGCTCACGTTGTGCTGTACTCAATTTATAGCTCAAAAACAAGACAAAATAGATTAGCTCTTCAGTAAAATGTGTCAGATAATGTTCACTGTGGTAAAATGCATTATCAGATTTCTTTTCTTTTTTGTTTTTTAGTGGGGCTGTAAAAGGTAGACTCAAACTATTTCTTGCATCCTGGGGATCCCCATTCTGGCCCTATGGGAAGCTAATAATGTAGACTCTTACTGACACATTACGTCTTCAGCTCATCCTACTTTCCTCAGAACTGCTCCACACACTAAGTCCCAGCGACTGGTCTGCATGGCGCTGCAGTACCTTGGACAGCGAAAGTAATCCCCATCACAGTGCAGCGTGAAGCAGCAACACACTCTGTCCCTCTCAACATCTCCCTGCCCACACACTATTCTTCATTAACACCGGCTCTCCTTCTGTGCACAGATGCAAATTCATTTACATTTTTGAAGACCCTGTCTGAGGCGTCCCTATCCGAGAACTGTGAGAGGAGAACAGATCCTCCTGGAACATCCTGTCGCTGCCCTGTCATCTAGTAACATAAAAGTGAAACCTTTGCAGAACACCATAACCTTGGGAGCTACACGGTTCAAAATCTATATACCAGTGAGACGGTGCATAAAGTGCACTCGATGTTGGGAATACTCACTTGCCTGGCGCCTGCTCTGCACAAAATGCCTGTTTTTTTTGGGGGGGGGGGTTACCATCCTTCCTCCAGAGATGGAGCCTATCACTCTGACTGCTGTCTCTTTTATCCGGACAGCCAGCATTCTGCATTTTGTCCGAGGTGCAACTTCTACTAAAATGCAGGAACACATGCTGCAGGACGCATTAAGGACTCAGGACAGAGAGTCCGGAAAAAAAAGAAAAACTGAGCACTCGCGTTTTAGAAAATCAAAAGGTGTCTCTCACACTTACCTCACTGCTCTCAGACTCCGCCATTTTTCTCCTGAGGAGCATGCAGCGGGACGAGTGCTTAATTCCCATAAGAGCCGGCAAAAAATGTGCTCACACTTGAGAGAAGTAAAGAGGATGAGAAAACAGTGCGCGCCCCCCCTCCCGATTTTCAGGCTCCTCAGATCTTTATCATTCAACAATTCTCATTCACATCCCAAACTGCAGTGTTCTTTAGAAATTCTAAGACTGTGAAAAGACACAAAACTACATGAGGTCCCAAAAGCATTGCAGCCACTGTTGCCATGAAGTGTAGTGGATTGCATGGTGCAAAAGTTTGCAGTCCACCGGTGTGCTTTCCTGGAGAGCATCAGAGGAAAATGCATCATTTTGCAGCAGCTGAGAAGAGATAGATATAAATGCAACGTCCTATCCCATGACCCGGCGAGCGTAGATCGGGATCTCAGAAGATTGCAGCACTAAAAGCAGCAGATTGCCATGAACACACAGTTTTAGTCCCAGTTTGATTGATTCCTCTACCGCAACATTGTTTCTAAAAATAGTACCGCATCCGCTGCTACCACACAGAGTGGAGAGACTTGACGCTGAGTGCATGCACAGAAATGTGATGACTCTCAAAACGTGCCCACGAATTTCTTATTAACACATGCCACCATTAGTGTCCCCCTGCCCATCATCTTTAATGCAACTCCTCTGTGCTCCATTTATTCGCTCTCCAGCCTCACAAAGTGCTGAACGCCGCCCGCCCAGAGAGAAAGTTGGAGTTGGTTCACTCTCTGCTGAAAAAGCCAGGACGCTGTGTGCTCAGGTTGCACGCACACACACACACAC